AGAGAGTGTGTGTGTGTGTGTATGTCGTGATGTGGGAACTTTCAATACCACGTCGGAAGCCCTGCCAGCTCGATTGGTATGTCCTCTCCGATTTGCAATTGTCGGATTCCGACGTGTGAGCCATCTAAGACTCTACATAAGAGATAACCTAATCGGCAAACCCTACAAGGCACCGCAAACCTGGAGCTCCGAAACTGAAGTTCCAGCTTCTAAGCTGAAGCCAAAGACAGAAATCTCAATCCCTCACTCTTACTGCAAGCTCTGAGCTCACTGAACCGGTAGCTCGGATCCTGAAGTACCTCGTCCACCAGGTGCTGGGTGCCGTCTTGCGATGCGTAGAACTCGAGCCTCGCTTGCTAGTCAAAGGAGCACTTTTCTTCTGGAATTCCGAAGGACGCTGTTCTTGCAGATGTATGACTGAGCCACACCAATCAGGTCTCTTCCGTTTTGACGGCTGTTGCGGCTCTTCCTAGGCAACATCTCAGCGATTCTTGACATGACCAGAGCACCCACTGCTGCAAATTGTGGTAAGCCTGTCTTTGAGAGTGGAGCTGCTGACACTGTCGAGCTTGCTCGGAAACGGAGATCCCTTCGACCAACAAACCCGACAAAACGTAGTGTCCATCCCCCCTGCAGGCTCGGACGATGCAAGAAGGCTGTTCGACGCCAGTGTCCCTTTCTATGAGCAGAATGCATTGTGTACATGCTCGCACATGATGAAGCCTGATGTGAGCACGTCCCACATGGAAACCCAGCAAAGTCTCACGAACCATTCCTAAGACCTTTGCACTGATAACTTACCATCGAAACTCATCCCCCCGGCAATAGCCAAGCAGTCATGCCAATAAAGCTTCGCCCAAATTCCGTCTTTGCTTGCTAGCAACATTATCTAAATCTTGGCTGACTCTGATTATTATTCTGCTCTGATGAAACTAGTCGTCGGACATTTCTACCAGGCAAAGTTGCTGTGGCAGTCGAGCAGCAAGCGGCAGAAAATACGGCATCCAAATCGGTGGCGAGCAAACTTCGACGCAAGACCTTCCAGTTCATCTGCCACAAAACTGCAGCCATTCCATGTCCTTGGAGCTTTCTGTTGGTGCCTTTCTAGATGCCTTGGAGTTTACGTGTAGGGTTGAGGGTTCAAGCAAAGCTCTGATGCACTGCAGGGATCCAGAATTCAGGGATGCACTGTTTACTTGGCACGCTCAAACTGCTAAACGAAGCCCTGGGACCCCATTCAACGCAACTCGATTTCCTGAGCAGACAGACGCAATGGAACTCCAAAGTACGTCAAGGAACAATTGAGTCACGATCTTCTGTGCCACGTAGTTCGCCTGAGATTTTCTCATGAAATCCATGCCAGACATTCTCAGGCGTCGACATCTTGCTGGCATCTTGGAGGTTCCAACCCTAAACCCTAAACCCTAAACCCTAGACATCTTGCTGGCATCTTGGAGGTTCGAAGGCCCAGGGATCGCAAGCGTTTCAGCGGACGCACGCTCTGTGCGACCTGGCTGCGTGCGGCGACATCAGCGCCTCGCGGACATGGCCTCGCAACACCCACCTAGAGGCTACATACATATTTGCACTATGTACATGTATATAGACATGTCTACGTGTATGAATACGTCCACATGTATGTACACATGTACATGTATGTGTGTGTGTGTATATATATATATATATATATGTGTGTGTGTGCACACATGCATACGAATGCATATATATATATACATATATATACATGCATATGTGTGCCTGTATCTATGTGTATGTACGCATACGAATACATGCACCTCCATATAATGAAATTAATGTGCAAATCGTAGTAGTTGCTCTATGTATATACAAGTGCATTCACCTCCACATAACGCAAGTAATACGAAGATATGCACATCTATATATATATATATATAATATATATATATATATATATATATACGTATATATAATACACATGCGCCTAGACAGAGGCATCGGCATATCCAACATACAATTATGTCAGCACTGCAATGGCCCTCCGTGAAGATCTACAACAACAGCTCTTCTTGGAGACGCTGCTCTCGCTCCTACTGCCACACGACTGCTCCTACCTACCCCTACTTGCACTCCAACTCCTCCTCTCCGACGCCTCCTCCTGATACTACTATTCAGCCTCCTTCTAAGCCTACTCCCATCACTGCTTCTTCCGGTCGTTTCAAAGGAACTGGACCAAAGGGTGACTTTCACCTGGCCAAGACGTGGCATGCGAGCAGCCTCGGAGTTCGCTTGCCAGCTCGGCTGCTTCGCCTCGCAAGTGGCCAGGGGCAAGGGGCGGCTTTGGGCCTCTGGGGGCCTCTGGGAGCGCCCAGGCCAGCCGCTAGGCTTGTGGAGGGGATGGGTTCGGAACGGAGGCAGTAGATGCTTCGGAATCGAGACAGCGCATTGGCATGTTTCGGAATCCAGACAGCTCCTTCCGAATCGACACAACTCATTCAGTATTCAGTACGAATCGAGACCGCGCTAGCAGGAATCGAGCGAACATGTCGAGGAATTCAGACATCGAGAATCGGATTCGAGACAACGACAGGCGGGATAGAGACGGTGTGGAGACCGTGGTCGGCTGATTGAGACAGCACTTTTAGCCTCGCCCCGCCCCTCCTCCACCCGGAATTGGCACTCCCGGCGCCCGGGTAATTTGGCTCCACACTTGCCTTCTCTGGTGAAACAAAATCTGCCTTGAAGAAGGTGTCAGGCTTGGCAACAGGAGCCAGGATATCAGGATGCTGGCGATTTTCTGTGTGTAAACTGTGAGGCACACCCTGCTCTGATCGCAAGCCGGATAAGACTGCGGTGACACACCCGTGAGAAAGCAGACCTGTTTCTGTGTTTTTTGGGCTGTTCCCTGGTAAAGCTATTCCATACCGTCGAAAAGAATGATCGAGGTGCTGTAATGTGGACTACAGAGGGCTGTCATACTGAGTGAGGGAAGCGAGCCTGCAGGGCGTTTTTGAGACAACATGACCAACGAGCTGGAACCACTCTAGAAACCCTTCACCTAAGCCCGTTCATCCCCTTGACAAGACTAAACCCGGGACTCAAAATGGCATAATGGGCATTATGAGCCCTGCGCCAAGGTGCGGGGCTTCGCACGCTCGAGCGCCAGCTGGATGAGGCGGCATCCCATAGGATGGCAGGACAGGTCCCAAACCTAAGGTACAAAGGTGAGTGCAGGACTTGGGGCTGCAAGAGGTGGGGCGTCTCGTTTGCGTTTCAAGGCCTTCTTCTGTCCGCAACGGTGGCTGAGCAATCGGAAGGCCCCCAGGTGTAGGGCTTGGTGTTGATGGTGCATAAGGTTTTGGGTTCAGGCTATACTTTACAGGGCTTGCTACCAGCGTTTGTAGGCGATTACACGATTCACTGCTTACGTCAGGTTACAACAACTGGTAAAGGTTGAGGTTGTCGACATGTCGAAATTTTGAGACGCTCACACCTGTTGAGTTTTACTGGCTTCTTTCACATACACCTTCAACCCTGAATGTACGGCTCAACTAGGGCAAAGGGCTGGCAGGACGAAACCTGGACTGGCTTGCTTGGAGCTATCAGCTATGATGTGGACGTCCACCTACCTGGGGATTTTTGTTTTGGTTGCCTGAGCGTGTCAAGGTGGTGGCAGGCCGAACAAGATGATGACAGAGCTCAGCTTTGGGGCCGAAGAGGAACCCTTGCACCATGCGCCTGGCTCACCACGAAAAGTCAGGAGGAATGGCAAGAACCGTTTGCGCTGTAAACCAGTCCGGCCGGCGGAGGCCCTGGTCGTGAAAAGCCTTAAACTTAAACTAATGCCACAAGACCTGATACATACCCCAACCTGCCCGAACTCGAGGCCGCTGACTCTGCCTAGCTGCATGATCTTTCAACAGCACCAAGGCAGCGGAGATCTGCTCAGAGTTTCCCTGCAGCTGCTGTTGCAGATCTTCGTACGCAGCAGTGTCGAAGATTTCCGTCACGGGGTTCCTCGGCACCGAAGGCGTCGGCTTCGTCTCGGGACCGCAGCGTCTGGGGCTGACAGAAATACACGAAGCCTTGAAACAAGCAGTCTACATCTACGTGGAGCATCCCGCGCCGGCTGCTCCTTGCGACACGCAGCGGGAGAGGAGCGGCGAAAGCCGGCTGTTCGGCAGAATCATTCTCGGAAAACAAACTATCATTGCACGTACGGTGTTGGAGCCTGCAAAGCACTGCCGGTCTGCTGCCGAGGATCCACACTCGACCCACGGCAACCGGACCTGCTTTTCCGGTATCGGGTCTCTCTTCGACACGGTTTGTCAACCTTCTTTAGCCATGGGCTTCTGCATTCTGGCAAGGACGACATAATGTTACCCTGTAATTATGAGAACGCTGGTAGACTCTATGGGACCGTCCCAAGATGGCACGGGACTAGCGGCTGTGCTCGACCCAACTTCTGTCCGAAACTTGGTTCGGTGTTTAGGGTTTATGCGCAGAGAGCCTACAGGGTACCTCAGCTTGTACAAACTACTTACACTGACACAAATGTAACCTAGGCAACGCTGTGCTTCAGGGTCAATCTGACATGTCTTTCCCAGACCTAAGCAGGTGACCAGGTCTTGGGGTTGATTCCAGCTGCCGAGGGGGAGATTTACAAGCGGGACCATGACTGACGAAGTATGCATCTAATGTCTTGCGCTCCCACATTCGGCATATCTTAGCTTTAGCGAACCCGACATGCAGGACCATTTAGCTTCAGAAACCCTATCCCCCACCTCACTCTTGACTCTTGACCAAATCACCGACAGAACGTGGCCACGTCTCAAGACGATCCTGGTCGTAAAGATAGCAAGATCTTCCAGTCACATCTTGCAAAAACGACAACCGGCAGCAACACTTTAGCCGGAGCTGCAGTGGACGCACTCTTTGATTCTGATATACGCTTTCTGGCCCATGTCGCACCACATCCGGCGTATTCGCGAGCGTGGAGGAGGATGAAGGCTCCCCATTTGTCCACACTGCGCAGATGCCTTCTCCACGCTCTGTCACATAGTCTAGCGCCGGACTTCACAGCAAGGGCTGTTGTGGCACTGGTCCTGTGCTCTGATCTTGCTTCCGCCCGTCTCCGAAGAGCCATGGGCTTGCAGGTGCTAAGCTTTGAACCTGCTGGGAGAAGCGCTGCTGCCGCATCGCGAGCTCCAAAGATAAGCTCGACGACGCACCTACAACCCTGAAAGGCACAAGGTTCAGGATCAGCTGTACATACATAGGAGCTGTGAGAATGGCATGGGAGCCGCCTGCTCCGCGAACTGCCGCAAAAGCAGAGTGTTGTTGTGGTACTGGCCGAAGTATTGGTAACATCCACAAAGCCTTTTCGATCACCTTCATGTCGCAGTCCTCGCCCTCTCGTCAGCAGACCGTGACCGTGCTCTTTTTTTGACATACTGTTACTTCCGCACCTGCTCCATGTCATACCCATTCGTAACCCTGCACTTCTTCGGAGCGGCGGCTTCCGCCTGTGCCGGTGCAAAGAAGGATGAAGACTCCGGCAATTCTTCTGCCACTGTGCAGCTGACCTTCTCCAAGCTCTTGTCCGGGCATTCGAAGTGGATAAGCTTCTTGCTAGTGCACAGATCCTCGCGGGACGCGCCTCGTATAACCTGTAGTCCAGCACCGGACGTCAACAGCAAGAGCTGCGCAAGCTTCCAGCGCTTGAAGCAAGGGCTGCCTCTGTGCTGGCTGAAGTATTCATAGCATCCTGACAAGTCTTTCAGCGGTCGCGCAAAGGTGAAGGTGAAGATGTACAACAAAGCGATTTCCAAGATCCTGTCTTCGACCCTTGGTAATCTGCGAAAGATGGAGCCAGCTGGTAAAGGACGTGTCGGCGGGTTTTTCAAGAGACGTTGACGTTGCTGGGAGTCCGCCGCGTTGCCGCAGAAGTCTGCACGAGCAGGCTGTTGTCGGCACGTCGGCACCGGAGATTCCCTGTTCAAGAAACCATCCTTAGCCGTGCCGATGTGGCCGCCTAGATCAACCGAGCTCTTGGGACTGAATAGCGCGGCGGCGGTGTTATCAGACGGCTTGTAGCACGCCTGTCCAAACACCTCATAAGTTACTTTCATGTCGCAGTCCTCGTCC